AGTTGGAGGTAATATCCTGGTCAAAATAATGGCCAGAGGGGGTGGAGGAATTGGTTCCTCATGAAGATAAGTTGAAGGTAATATCTCATTCAACATAATGGCCAGAGAGGGTGGCGGATTTGATTTCTTATGAAAATGAGTTGAAGGTAATATCTCATTCAACATAATGGCCAGAGGGGTCGCGGATTTGATTTCTTATGAAGATAAGTTGAAGGCAACATCCCCTTCAACAAAGTGTTCAGAGGGGGTGGGGGTTTTGATACCTTACGAAAGAAGTTGAAAGTAATATTTCATGAAACATAATGGCCAGAAGGGGTGGCGGGTTTGATCCCTATGAGGGTAAGTTGGCGGTAATTTCTCATTCGGTTGTCAACAAAATGTTCAGAGCGGGTGGCAGATTTGGTTTCTGATTCGTTTTTTTTGGTTTCTGATTCGTGGGTTTGTTTGGTTTCTGATTCGCGGATCTTGGTGTCTGATTCGCAATTTTTAGTTTCTGATTCTCAGTTTCTGATTCGCGGGGTCTTGTATCTGATTCCTGTATTTTAGTTTCTGATTCGCACGGTTTTTGGTTTCTGATTCGTGGGATTTGGGTTTCTGATTCGCGGATTTTAGTTTCTGATTGGCGGGTTTTAGTTTCTGATTCTTTGTTGCTGATTCGCGGGAAGTTTCTGATTCGAGGTTTGTTCCTGGGTTCCTGCAGGGCCTCTTACTCGTCGCGAAGCGAGCCGAATAACGCCAAGAAAAGTGTCCCAATAATACTTCGCCGGCCAGGCAAAACGACACTATCACCACATACCGCGCCTGCCATGGAAATGCGTGACTTTCGGCGCGCCAATTCCATTGCGATCAGCAAAAACACGCAATACCGGGCAGATGAAGTGATTTGCCTGCCGCAAATATGACCATCGACCTCTCCAAAGTACTACGCGTGCCACGGAAAAATACAAGCGTTCCAAACACGCGCCAAAAGTACTGCGCCTGTCACACAAACCACTTTCGACACATGATCCCTCACGTCTGAGTCACACGAAGGGCCACGCCTATCACACGAAATGCTGTTCCACAACACGGTGACCCTCTTTGAGACATTCCTCATAGTCACGGTCATAGGGTTTTCATCAGGAACGATTGCGAACGGTTGCGAACGGTTGCGATCGTTTGCGAACAGTGTTGACTACCAAATCAAAGCAACACCAAGCGAACAAGGGTCTACACCCAGACCCCCAGAGATAAAGGCGGAGCCGTAGCAATTCCTGCCTCGTCAAAGTCTGGCAGTGGATCCTCGATTGAAGGCACCGGAGGCTGACTTGGAGACGCAAGCCGGTCCATTGGCGCAATGCTACTCAATGGGACAAAACCCACTGAGCTGAGCCAGAAAAGATCAGAAAAGGTCGAATGTCCAACAGGGGTTCCCGGTAGGGACTGGATCTCCACCTGATGGTTTTGCTGCCTTTTTTCGTCTTCGTCATCCTTTTGTCTGGATCATATATTTTCGGCGGTAGAAACCGGCTTCTCTTACCAAAATGATACGTGGCAATTCTTGCCTTTATCAAGTCGCCCACACCATGTCACCAATTCTGGCCTTGTCTGATTCTTAAGTAGATATACTGTAAGTAGTGTGAGAATATTTTTGCTCAGTCACACGCTCTTCATCCAATCGAAACAACAGGCATAGCCAACCTGCCTCATGGATGGCTTGGATGCGGCCTGTGTAGAAGAGAACTCTCTCTGTGAGTGTGGTCCTGAGGGTGGAGAAGACAACTTGAATCTCCTGAACCATCTTTAAGTTATTGGTTTGTGGAAGCCCGGGAACAGGTCACAAAGGTACGCCTTGCACACATCTCAACCCCGAAGTAGTGTCAAGACAAAGCTGAGATGGTGACTTACCACTATCGATGTGCGCCTGAAGTCTTTCACCGGCGAAACCAATCGGTAGAGATTGATGCACCAAGTCAGGTTGGAGACAAGGCTTTCCAACCAATCCAATATAACGCAAGATTGAGCCAGCAGCTGAGATTCCAAAATTGCGCATTTTGGACTGATCCGCCTCAGCGTTCTGAAGGAATGGGGAAACCAAAATGCTACTAAAGCACACTAAAGCAGCAGCCACAAATTAAAGGCGTCTCATTGCTGAGGTCAGCAATGGAATGTGGCCTATGGAATGTGCTCTACAATTACTGTGACTTTTGGTGATCTATATAGGATAATTACAAGGTAATATAATTCATGCAAACTGCTGCATACTATGATAAATTAAATGAATGATATAATTACCTGTTCGAAGGAAGTTTAGAGTCAGACTTCCGACAATATGGACAAATGGAAAAGCAGAGGTGGGAACAATCAGAGAAGAGAAGAGAAGAGAAGAGAAGAAGAAAGAAGATCGGAGAAGAGAAAGAGTCAGGGCGCGCGAAGAGGTAGAAAAGTCGCGAAACATTGCGTTTTTCCAATGATTTGTGGTTCAGAGGGTCGAAAAGTAGGCTCGCTAAAGCGGCGGGCACGGAGCCATCTGGACAGATGAGAGATGAAAATTTGCACGCCGTTGTGGCACGAAGCATATTTCCAAGCGAAAATATACAAAACACACCAGCTCCGGACCACTTTTGGAAGTTGTGATGTGCAAAAAGTGCACGCCGTTGTGGCGCGAAGCACATTTCCAAGTCAAAATGTACAAAGCACACCAGCGTAGGACCACTTTTGGAAGTTGAGATAATGAAAAAGTGCACGCCATTGTGGCGCGAAGCACATTTCAAAGTCAAAATGTATAAAACACACCATGTTCCACTCTTGGACGTTCAGATGTCGTTTCGCGTGGCAGGCGCAGGGGATTGTGCACCTTGTCGTCAAAAGTGAGCAAAACGTGGGGCTTGTAGCAGTTTTAAAAGCGTTGACAGGCGTGGGACATTGGAAGAGCAAAGATGCATTTTGCGTGCCAGGCAAAGTACAAGAGACATGTTCATCAGAGATGTTCGGAGGTCAGGGCGCTGACTTCCTGAGAGCCTTCAGGTTTGCTAAGATAATTTTGCGTGACAGGTGCAGCACTTCGCATGACCTGGACCTGGCCTCACTTTTCATGGCAAGCGCAGTACTTTAGACAGATGGAATGGAAAAGTCGCAAAACGCATTGGCACGAGCCCGTCAGCTCTGCACTCAACTTTCCATTTTTGAAGGAAGTCTCGCAGAATTGTTTCGTTTTTGATGTTGTCAACTTCGAAAAATGAGGAAGTCTCGCAGACTTGTCTCGTTTTTGACGTTGTCAAGTTCAAAAATTGACGATGTCTCGCATCATTGCTGCGTTTTTGATGTTGTCAAGTTAAAAAACTGAGGACGTCTCGCAGAATAGCTTCTTTTTCAAGGATGCAGATAGAGAGATAGATAGATAGATAGATAGATAAGATACGATACGATAAGATAAGATAAGATAAGATAGGATAGGATAAGATAAGATAGATAGATAGATAGATAGACAACTACCACTACCACTACCACTACCACTACCACTACACTACTACTACTACTACAAATATACTACGCTACATTACCCGACACTAATTACTACACTACAGTAACTACACTAATTACATTTATATAATTACACTACACTACATTAATTCCACAACAACAACAACAACAACAACAACTACTACTACTACTACTACCACCACCACCACCACAGCTACAAATACACTTGCAAATTACAACTACTCTACATTACACTACACTACACCGTCTAAACTGCAGCACACTACAACTACAAATACAACTACAACTACACTACATTACACAACACTGCACTACACTCACTACATTGCACTACAACTACAACCGCACTTGCGACTACAATTACAACTGCCACTACATTGCACTACACTACACTACATTAATTACACTACATTGCGCTACAACTACAACTACATTTACACTACTTTACACTGCACTACACTAGACTACACTACTCTACACTGTACCGCACTACAGTACACACCACTACAGTACACTACAATACACTACGCTAATTACACCACACCACAACTACAACTGCAACTGCAACTGCGACTACACTACACTAATTACATTACAACTACAACTTACAACTACAACTTACAACTACAACTTACAACTACAACTTACAACTACAACTTACAACTACAACTCCACTACACTACACTACAACTACAGCTGCGCTACACCACACTAGATCAAGCAGTTGTGGGTGAGGTGACACATTGCAACCACTCCAAAAAACACAACTCCAACCACCTTTCGATCCATCGGTGGATTCGCTCGGCCATCCATGCATCGCAACAACTCACCTCTCCTGTAGTGTCCTATCCTTGAAACTCCCGCCACCGCCTTGTGCGAATGTATTTATATTCCCTGGTTCCAGTGTTATCCACGTTACGCAGGTCTGTTAGACCGGTGCACATGTCCTTCTCATCAGTTTCATCAGGTCCCTGATGAAAAATATTCCATGCAATCACTGGATTGGCTGCTGAGTCCCATGCAGGAGCCGCTGCTGTTGCAGCCTGTCTGGCCCTGTAGCCAGCACTTGGCACCTCAAACTTTCTGTGACAACAGCGTCATTGCTCCAACAACGTTTTAGGTCAAAGCCACTGCCGATGCCCGTCAGACCCCTGCTGGGAAATGAAAAGTGTCCCTTGTGCTCTGCCACGTTCTTTCTATTTTTTTCTTGTCTGCAACATCTTCGCCTAACTCCCTGGAAAGTACCGGAGGTCTCCTTTGGGCATGATTCGTTCAGCCCTCAGAAATTTTGGAGCTCGAAGGCTTGAAGATCTCCAGTATCACTGCCACCACAGTCTGACGCGATCAAGCTCCGTGGGCTCGTTGGGGAAGACCTTCTGATAGGGGAACTCTTGGCAAAGCAAGTGGCAGATGAGTAAATTGCCACCGTCGATCATGCGAGAATCGTGTCATGCTGTTCCCTTTCTGGCTGAGGCAAAATCCTTGAAGCAACCATCATGCTGAAGTCCAAGTCGACGTCAAAGCTCTGGACTTCTCCTGGGAAGTGGAGGAACGCAATGATCGAAGTTGATTTGTCTGAAAAAATAGTATCCCAAATCTCAGGGTTCATCGTCGTGTTCCCCATAAAATTGCCATTTGGGGTATCCACCATATTTGGACAAACCCAAATACCTCAGGATTGTTTTTTCAAAACCATTCATATTATCAGTTTATCATGTCTGTGTTTTGTAGAGTCGTGCCAAGCGTCAAGTCTTCAGGCCTCAAGACTCGCTGATGAGCAGGATCCACCAACAAGCCCAAAGCGGCCTTGGTCTGTGCCGGTGGAAAATGTAGCATGCACTGGACAAATCTTAATCGAAGTCACCAAGGCCATGTGTCCAACGATTGCATCATCAGTGCACGCGTCCTTGCCAGAGTTCGATACGGTTAAGGTAGCAACTAATAGTTGAATCTCTCATTGGCTTGGCCATACCCGGTGGGAGCTGTCAACGTGGAACTGTCCAACACACAAGTGTTTTGCTTATGTTCTGCTCATGCCTTTGTGCATACAGATACACTGGCAGACCTCAAACTCTTTCAGAATGTGTTTTGCCAGGGTATTGTTGTGCGCTCCTCTGCATCAGGGGAGAAGCGGGACTCCGGCACCAAGGTCAAGGCGGCCTTGTGCCCGTGAAGATTTTTTGGGAATCGACTCAATCGATATTGAAAATCCGTCTATCCCAAGATTCACACAACTCCTCTCTTCCCCAAAATGGAGATCTCAACCTGCAGAAGTTAAGTCAATGCGACTGGAAGCGACCTGTTCCAAGCTATGCGACTCAATTCTGGGTATAAACAATTTGTGTCTGTCCAGCCTCGTAGACGTCATAAGCCTGTCATGTCTGTCAAGATCCAAGACACAACCTGTGACAAAGAAAGATTTCGGTTAGTTTTCCATGGCTTTCTGCGACAAAAGTCCCACCTCAGCTCCTGTGACGGTCTCGTACAGGACTCCCTGCTGAATGCTTCGGAGCGGCTGGATCTTCTGGAAAAAGCCCTGCAAGGCCCAATAGTATCAAGCCAAAAGCCACAGAGAGGAAAACTGTCGCCACTGACCTCCAAGAAAATTCCGAATCAATTGACATCGTCCAAGCCACATCAAGCCAGAACAATTGAGACAAGGAACGACAAGGCACCAACCCACCAGCCCCCGGTTTTCCACACCAAGTGAATGCTGGTAGCAGCCTCCCGCAACTCGCAATCTGATGAGCCAGTGTCCACCAATGCTCTCGGCACCACCTAGTGCAAAGATGTGCAAAAATGTGCAAAGTGATGCAAAGTGCCCAAAAGTGCCAAAAAGTTCAAGTGTATATTTGGTGGCACTTGCTGACACCACATTCGGCGAGTTCTCTTTCGAATCTTTGGTCATCAGATTCGATCCGGTGAAAGAACAAGAACCTGAGGACAGGACCACACTCTTGCTTGGATCTGCAGTCGACTTGAATTCGACCTGAACTGAGCAATGCTCCGAATGAGCCTGCAAAGCATGCAAAGCCTCCAAGTCCTCTATGAGGTGCAGTACTATGCATGAACGCAAAGAACTCACTGGCGCAACAAGATTCCATACTGTTCACTGGCAAGATTCCTACGTAAGACACACTATCCAATCGAAAGGTCCAAAAGTATCAATAGCAAGCCCAAACCTTGATATTAAAAAAAAAAAAGTCCAGCTTGAATGATCCCTCCTTGTTCCAAAAATCATGTATGCAGAAAGCTGGATCAGAGTCAAACCAGCTAAGCCGTCCCCCAGTGGAGCACCTCCACATACGTCAAAGGTACAGTTGATGCTGTTGGCGCCTCAGCAAAAGTCGGGGACACTGGAACTCTTGCGTAAGCAGTGCTGTGTTGAGTTGGGATATATACATTATATACTTACGACTTAGGCCTTGATTTTCCTGAATTGAGGCCGATTGAGGTAAATTGAGGTAAACATGGCGCAGTTGCGCGGGGCTCGCCACGGACTCCATGTGTGCAAACCCGCTCAGGCTCAAACCGTGCCCATAGTTCTAAGTTGCTCATTCTTCAAAGGCAATGAGAGGGCAGACCTTTGCATGCACCATGTCAAGCAAGCAGTGAGTGTAAATTTAAACGGGTGTGCAGCTACAATCAAACCTTGGATAAAAACGTGCCTCGGATATTGTAGGAACTTTGATGGCAAGGTCAAATCACCTGGCACAGAGCCCTTCAAATAAAAAAATATTTTCTCCCCTACAATGGTGAAGGCTGCCACAAGCCAGAGACAACTCTAATATACCAGGCTGGCCTTCGCATGCAGCTAAGTTGTGTGCAGTACATAGCCCGGCCTTAGGCAAGAGGATCAAAGAAAAAATATTGTTAGGATTTTAGGATCCAAAAAAATATTTCCAAGGGATCAAAAAAAACTTACAAACCAAACAAATCCAAAGTTTGCTTCCGAACTCCACACACAGAGACGGAAAAGGTACCAGAGATGCAAGAAAAAAAAAACAAACCCCCGACCGCCCTGATCCTCGTCCGACATTGTCGTGGTAATCGTCGACGCAGTCGTCATCATCATCACCAACATCATCCATGATTCGTGACTGTAAATAATCAATATCAACATCAACATCATCAACATCATCCTCACCGCCACCGTCACATCACCGCCACACGCCACAAACCACAAACCAAAAACCACAAACAAAAACCACAACCACAACCACCATCACCATCGGTATCACTGCATCACCATCAAAACAAAATCACCATGTCAAAATCATCAACACCATCCCTATCAAAGTCACCATCAGGGATGCCAATGGTCCCACCATCATGTGTCAGTTTCAGCATCGTCATTTACATGAATGTGGAAAAACCTCAAGGATAAAGCAACTGTGGAACTGAGCCAAAGGCCAAGCGCAGAAATGAACGAAGGGAACCCATGAATCAAATATATAATAGGTTGGGAAATTTGATTGCATGCATGTGACGGCAAAACACAATCTGCAGTAATCTGCAAAAAAATAATGATTGATTTGTCATTGGTGGATTCTACCAATACTCCAGATTTGACCAAAAACCACATTCACAAATTCCCTCGTGTGCACGTCTCAATCCAACGCAGCCAAATGGCTGTGGGCAAGAAACGCAAGCATGCAGCTGAAGTCAAATCCCAATAATTTCCGAAGATGGCCAGTTGTATGTGTGTTTTTCTTCCCCTTTGACAAGCATTTGAATGCAAGACCACCTGTGACATGCAAAATGTGCAAGTATCTCCAAGCCACGCACTGCGGCCCATTGGCCCAACTTGTGATCGCCAAATTTCACCTGTCTGGTTGCAACAAAATCATTGTCTCCGGCACACTTGGATGAGCCAGCAATATTCACTTCAATGCAACCTGGCCTGTCGTAAGCATTGCCCCAAAGGGCGTATCATAGTTGCAAAATGCGGAATGGTTGCAACGACGTTTGACCAAATTGATTTTCGTTGCAGTGCCATGTCCCATTGTGTTCCAACATCTAATTTCCAGATCGACAAAATATGTAATTACAGTACTGGAACAAAAAATAAACAACACGTTTGCCTCAATGACCTGCATACATTTTGGTGGCAAATTCGTTGTGTTTCACATCTATTAAACCATGACATTCCAGTTCAATCATCCAACAACTTATGACGAAAACAGTCAAAAAATGCAAATCGCAAATACTTAGGACTTTAAACAGTCATGTTCCCTGAGAGCAGAATATGCCTGCGGACACCGTGTCCTCACCCTCACTCTCAATACCTAAGCCAACCATTAATCATAAATACGAATTTTGTGACCTGCATGATAGCAAAATCCCAAAAATCAAATTCAATTAATTAAACAACAGTTGTTCATTGAAAAATAACAGCGAGAAGGTGCAAACATTGTACTACACCTAAACAATCATTGAATAAAGCACACCATGCAACATGCCACATGCCCATCCAAATTTCAGGTGTCGACAAGATCTCATTGAGAAAGAAATAATGCGTACGGAAATTCACAACACGTAGTTCATTGTCATGTTTTGATCGAATGACAAGCGCGCGCGCGCTTGCTCAGAACAGTTTTTCAAATTGTGAAGTTGGAGTGCATCTTACGTGCAAAAACAGTTCAATAAACTTGTCAAAACGAAGAAATGGAGTTGGGACAGAAGTTCACATGTCCAATATAATGTAACCATCGTACCACGAAGAAATCCCAACAGAATAGAGCTGACCCTTCCCTTCTTTGTAACACAGTAAATCACAATGGTGGTGAAAACAACAGTGCACAACAAGCTGAAACTGCAATCACTGAGAAAGTGGTGAAGGGGTTTTTGGTTTGGCCCCATGTTATGTCAGCAAAACTGGAAACCGACTGGCAAGTACGTCACGGCGATCAGCCGTGATATCCGCATGTACTGTGGCCGCTTCGCTGGACCATCGCTCACAATACATGGATGGTCCCCCTGCTAAAAAGTATACGTCACGAACAAAAAAAATCGAACAGTAACGATTCAAGAGTTAATCCAGAGGTTCACAAGGCAAGTTTACATCTATTGAAATTGCACACACACACACACTGGAATCGTTTTAAGAGTTGGAGCTAGTTCCAAGTTGGTGGCGTCGAATCATGTGTAGTTCGTTCTGCTGGGTTTTAATTTAAAAGTTTTGGCAATTCCTACGTGGTAGACCTTGTCAAGGCTGTATCCAAGTTGGAAGGTATGATGTAGTCGAGCATGAACGAACCACAACTTCCAAAACACAGAAAAACCCAAGTTCCGTGTGAAATGGGAAATCGGCTAGCCAGGTTTGAGATTAGCCGAGCCTGGGAACTGTGTCAAAAAAATGAACGGGTTGCAGGTCCGTCACCAAGCGTCCCTGGTGATATAGGAGCATATGCGGAGCTTCGTTGGATGGAGCCTCATACGTCCTCTCCATCCCGCCGCATTGTTGTATGAAAATGTGCACTGAACCATGCCCTGTGTTAGAAGGGTGTACACACACACACACTAGACAAAATTGGATCTTTTAAGAGATCCATCAGGAACTGAGTCCTTTAACGTGCAAATTAGTCAGGAAGACAAAAAAACTTGGGACCTAAGGTGATCTATGGGAGATACTCCGAGAAGACAATCACTGCCAGAAATGTCATCAAATCGAAATCCACCAGGTACCATCCAATAAACCATCGACGCCGTAGACCAAGACCATGACGTCGAAAATAAATTCAGATTGCGACAACTGTGTAAAATTTTCAAATTGCGACAACAGTGTAAAATTCAAATTCCGTTGTTGAGGTTCTTGGCTTAGCCCCTTGCCATACGGAGAGAAAAACCAATGCAGGTACAAGTGGTTGATCACACCACTCAATCCACCGAAATGCCATAGCTTCGTTGGACTGGATAGGCAAATCGGCTCCAGTCCCCCTGCATTAATTATAACAACCCTTGTTAGAAGGAGAGTAAAAAGAAAAAAGGAGAAGTTTTACATCTATTTAGGTGTTACACACACACACACCCGGCCGGAGCCGGGACAACCCTGAAAGGCAAGAGGAAGAAAAAAGCGGACACAAACGACGGGCAAAAGGACAAAACAGCGCAGGCGGGGGAAGGGAACAGACGGACCTCCAGAACCAACCTACACGGCGAGATGGACCTAAACAGCACAGGGCACACACCTAAACCCCACAACACATTACAGAGGGGCACGGGGGAAGAATTAGGGACCGATGGGGGGCTAGTTGGTGACGAGGGTAAAACAACCAGAACAATTAAACTAAAAGGACCCAGTTCAACCCTAGGTAATCGTGCGTTACTCCGAACCGGGACCGTGGTCAAGTCAAGCCACATGGGCATAAACAGCGTTTCAAGTTCCATCGAATTAGATGCACGAAATGTTCAACCTCACCAACGAACCATCAAAAGCAAGAGAACCACACCTGGAAAGCATGGACCTGTCTTGCTGTTGCGAAGTGTTTCAAAAGCTGGCGCTGCAGCAATAAAAAAGAAGTTTCTGATTGTTCAGCACGGCTTCGACGTGAAGAGATGAATGGTCCAAAGACACTCAAGGGACGGCCGGAGCAGCAGGACTTCACAAAAAACAGAATAACGGAAAGGCCAACTGTTTCGCTTTACTTTACCAAGTTAAAATGTGTGAATTCTGAAGTCAAGTCTGTCCTCAGTCACCCACAAAGGGGTTGCCTCCAATGGCCCTTGGCACCATGTCGAAGCCACCATAGGAATCACATTAGACAAAATTGGATCTTTTAAGAGATCCATAAGGAACTGAGTCCTTTAACGTGCAAATTAGTCAGGAAAACAAAAACTTGGGACCTAAGGTGATCTATGGGAGGTACTTTTTTTTTCCGAAGTGCGCCGATATAGCTCACAGGCTCGGTCCTGAAAGCTGGATAAACGTTAAAAGCGGCAAAAAATGGACGTACCACGAGTCCAGTCTGTACAAAAGAGTCTACTGTGGCAAAAACAAAAACAACACCAGCCAACCACCAGACGACCCGCAAATCCCCCAGGCAGATTTGCGTTTCGCCTCACGAAAACAGGCAAAGCAACAGCAGCACGGGGCCAGGGCCCAACACAAAACAACAACACTGTCACAAAGGCATAGCCGGTCGCTCAGTATCCGCTCAGTAGTTCTTTATCATGTCATCCGATCAACACTGTCCGAGAGCTTCAAGATGTTGTTCCGCCAGTTGCCGCATCAGACATCATGCAGTATCCAATGGGAAAGATCCAAAGGATATCGGATAGCGGTAGCGGAAGGTGATCTATGGGAGGTACTCCGAGAAGACAATCACTGCCAGAAATGTCATCAAATCGAAATCCACCAGATACCATCCCATAAACCGTCGACGCCGTAGACCAAGACCATGATGTCGAAAATAAATTCAGATTGCGACAACCGTGTAAAATTTTCAAATTGCGACCACAGTGTAAAATTCAAATTCCGTTGTTGAGGTTCTTGGCTTAGCCCCTTGCCATACGGAGAGAAAAACCAATGCAGGTACACGTGGTTGATCAGACCACTCATCCACCTAAATGCCATAGCTTCGTTGGACTGGATAGGCAAATCGGCTCCATTCCTCCTGCATTAATTATGACAACCTTGTTAGAAGGAGAGAAAAAAGAAAAAGGATAAGTTTTACATCCGTTTAGATGTTACATACACACACACACACCACGCCCCACTAGGCGGCAAAGCTTATGGCAAACATTGTAAAATGGCAGGCACCATTGCAATCTTACGAATCTGCTCAGAAACACCCGTGTGGAGATGTAAGCGCTGGAGTTGCATCTGTTCTAGATTCTGATTCTAGTCGTTGTTCGCAAAATCTCGCGAGCCCATGTTGCACTTGCTTCCGACCTATCTCGAGCTGAATCGGCCACACTCGAGCAAAAAAAAGCACTTGCTTCCGACCTTTCCAAGCCAAAATACGAAATATGGTCTGAACTCTCTATGTCATCTATGGTTTGGCGTGGTAGGCGTAAGCATTGGCTGCTGCAGTGTTAGGACATTTTGAATGAACCCACCAACACTTATAACCTGGAGCGTTCACTTCTAAGCACGCGCGTAGCAAACACCACTGCAAATGTACGACAGACGATCGATCAGCGTGCCACATTGACAGGTCAGAAGCGACAAACAGATTTTCTTTTTTGCATGCATTTTCGACCTATATCCTGCCCTACCTGCGTCTGCGCAGTGGCCATCAGATTGAGTTTACGCGTCACGTGTAAACGGTGCCGACTAAGATCCTGGACTTTTCGGGTTTTACCCCGTGGCCATCAGATTACATGTACGCGTAAAATATGTAAACGCCAGACTGACATCCTGGGTTTTTCTGGCTTTGCCCAGCCGCTAGCAGACGGCGTTTATGCGTCAAACCATGTAAGCACTACAGACTGACACCCTT